CCATGTTAATTAAGCGCTTATTGACTCACCAGTTTTAAAGTGCAGTAAAAGTAACTACAGTTTAGTAACTGATCGAAGCATGGCGACGATACTATAAATTGGACATATGAAAGTGTACTGACTGCGCCAATCATCGCCGAGCATCTGGTACAAGCAAAGGTGAATAAAAAAATTACATGCGCTCTAGGCTCATAGGGCCGACAAAACAGATAATTATTCAGGCGAAAACCACAGCAAAGGTTGCAAAATCTGTGCAGCATCTTCCATAGGCGCGGGAGCCGGGGGGGGGGGGGGCAGTGGGGGCAGCTTGCCCCCCCCCCCAACTCTGGGGCCGTGGGGGCGGTGCCCCCACAGCTTTGAGACGGAATATCACACTTTTTTTGCAAATGTTTTCTTTTTTTGTTGAAAAAGCCGAGGGGTAAAAAATAAGTGGCCTAAAACCGGTGAGAAAACTAGATTTGGGGGTACCCTAGGTTGATCTCTATTATGGTGTGCCCCCCCCAGTCGGAAAGTAGTTCCCGCGCCCCTGGCATCTTCTACTGCTGTTTCGTAGCTCACCGCTGCCGAGGCGTCCAGCATGAGGGTGATGCGAGCGAGGAGCGGGAACGACACGGTGCTGCCATCTAGGGAGAACGTGTGGGACAGCTGACGGCGCAGACCGCCCTCGTCCTCCACAGAAACCTGGCGGCAGACGGGGGGATTAACTTGTTTGTTTGATTGTTGTGGGGGGGGGGGGGGTAACGTGTGGGACAGACGGGGGAACTAACGTGTGGGAAGGACCGCCCTCGTCCTCAGTCTCCACAGACACCTAATGATGGAAAACGAATGATGGCTTTCGTTTCGAATGATGGAAAACGAATGATGGTCACAGGAGTTACTTTTTTATCTAGATTATTTTCAGATACATGTGAGTTTAATGTTGAAATATCTTAGAAAATAGACAACAGGGGTAGGTGCGTTAGCCAGCCGACCGGCCCTGGACACATTCTGTTCCCGGACGCTGCACACCCATCATCCCGCGCCCCGAGCTGATCTCCCACCTCCATGGTGTGCAGGCCGGTGCTGTAGTCGGCCGGTCGCCAGTCACAGGTGAATAGCGGTCCGCCGGCCGGCTGACAGGGTAGCCACGGGTCACCGTCCCCGTCCAGTCGCACCCGGACCGTAGTGAGGCGGTGCGGCGAGAACGCCAGGATCCTGACAGTCAGAGAAGCAGAGTGAGGAAACGCCTGGCGGACAGGACACCGCACGGCGAGGGAGAACATCGGTAAGAGACAAACGAAGCACCTTAAGAGAGGGGAACGCCAGGCCATGTCGGACCAACTGGGACCATACGGTAAAGGGAGAAAATTAAGAAAACGAAAATCGGTACCCAGCCATTTTCTAATAACAAACATTCAGGCCTTATACTTCGCATAATTATTATTTCAGGGACGGTCGTCCAGCGACCATTTCGCTCACCGAATGTGCGGAATCTCCCTCATACTCCAGAGCGGCTCATTTAGCGGCATGTTGAAGTCGGCTCGCTTGGGGTTGGTTACCATGACGACCGGCCACTGGTCGGCGAACTCGACCTCCGAGATGGAGAACAGGCCGTGGTCGATCGCCAGCAAACGGTAGCTGCACAAAAAGAGAGGACGACCGTCATATATCGAGGTCAACTCGCGGTACTTGTGGAGAAAGGAACGGCGACCGTCGCACCGTCACTAGCACTCAAGCCGAACCTGAGCAATAAAACTACGAGATAAGAGAGTTTGAGAAGAGAAATAGCATAATGGATATATCTCCACTAATGTCTACGATACCGTGCACAAAAAGATAACATCTTACGATCACAGATCATAACTAGCAGTAGCAAATAGCAGAGTAGTCTATGATCACAAACACTCAGAAATAACGACTCATAAAAATAAAAATAGCATATACATAAACATAAGACATAACAATAAAAACCCGTGAATGATCACTCAGATCAGTGATCACACCCTTGTTTCCGAAAACAGCGAACTGCCCAGTGCACAACTCGACACGACAAACCAGCCCACCATGACTATCTCCCCTTCTACACGTACCGTCTGGACTCCCGCCAGTCGGCCAGCTCCAGTTCCAGCGTACCGGACCGCTGTCGGGTGTACATGTGCTTCACAAGCCCGGCCAGAGTGTGCAGGTGACCACACAGGTAGGCCAGCGAGCCGGCCATCAGAGAGCGCACCTCCGCCGCCGGGATCAGCGTCGAGCTCGGAAAGTGGCCGAACCTGTTGGATGGGGGGACGGGGGGGGGGGCCTGTGGTCAGACAGTAGCGTGACAGTGTGGAAGGACAGACCAAGCTACTAACATAGAGCAAGCGCAGTTTTGATGGTGGGATGGGTTATTGAGACAACTACGAGACAACTACGACAACTCGCATAGTCCCAAACACCTGGAAAGCGATTTTATAGGCGATGAGGTGTCGCATGCGACCGAATCCCCGGGAAATAATAAGAAATGTAGTGTCTGAGGGTGACATCTTGTGACTCTGGGAAATATCCTTTTCAACGCACTCATATAAAGAAAAATACGGCGTAGATATTCACGATGCACACTCGTCAGACATCTAGCCACCACTCCATCAGACATCACCCCTTCCTCCACTAGCTCTGTTCCCCTACCACCACCCTGCGGCCCTCACCAGATGACGTGATCGGCGCGTCGCGCGCGCTCCGTGTACCCCCGCAGCGCGGCCAGCTCTCGCGGCGACACCACGCCGAAAAAGTTGAACGGCCGCCGCGGCCCGGGGTCGACGGTGGCATCGAGCGCGATGAACGCGTACCGCCGCCGGCCGCGCGTCAGCTCGTACAGGTAGGAGCGGGGGTGGGCGGCGCCCTGGACGCCGTACCGGCGGAACCAGTTGCGCGGGCTGTCCGCCGACGGCACGTCAAATACGTCTGAGGGAGGGAGACGGCAGACGTCAGATGGAGGGAGGGGCCGTCAGATGGAGGGAGGGGCCGTCAGATGGAGGGAGGGGCCGTCAGATGGAGGGAGGGCGCGTGCTCAGATGGCTGATCTGAGACAGGAGATGGCAGAAATGACAGGTGTTATGTAGGTAGCCAAAGAACAGTGGAGGCCATGATGATGTAAAAGAGAGTCCATTTAGAACAAAAGTGGCTCAACTGTTTGAATCTGGAACATTACATCTCTTCAAGAAAGGCATTGCCAGCACTGACAACAGTGATTCTGACACCTTACATATAGTTATTAGACTTGAACCATCAGTTTTAATTACCATGATTTCCTCTTAAGTCTAGCCAAAATGAGCTGTTGAAGACATTTCCTTTCACAAGGATATCCTTGTATATCTGCCACTCCTTTTCATACTGTAGTGATCCCACATTGTCCTCATTCTTGGCATCAGTCAAGTCACCTGCAAACAGACAGAGTAACATACCTCAATTAAACAAATTTATCAACATAGACAGACTCAAAACAACTGGTACAGGAGTAACACATACAGTTAGATGTAAAATAACTCCATAAACAGGTGAACCATCATTGTTACCATTTAGTTCATGCTATTTGCACATACCATGGTAGTTTTTATTTGATGAGCTTGCCACTCTCACCCCAGTATGGCATGAGAACAAGATATTAGGAATTTAAAACATTTCGGTCTATCACACAAAGGAGACTAAGAGGTAGCATCCAACAAACACCAGTTTCACTCTGCACTAACAATGGATACAGATTACATAGCACAACAAACCTGAAGCCACAACCAGCTCTGGCTGGATGATGGGCAGTGATCCATTCACAAATTCTTTGAGCTGTTCAATGCGGCTTGGATCTTGAAAAATGCTGATATGCAAATCTGATACCTGAAAGTCAACCATATTTTGGTTGTGTTAGTGTGCAGTCTGAATGTGTATACTGAAAAATGTACCATAATTTTAAGGGAAAATGCTACCAAGGTGTATCAATTCACAATTACAGTCAAAAACCAGAAATGAAATCCTATAGATTTTGACATTTCCCTTTTAAGTTAGCTGATCTCAAGGGCAGGCTGCAGATATAATTGTAAACATCAGTACAAACCTATCTTAACTGTTTTATTAATTCAAGTAAAATTAAGCATCATTTGCATAGGCTAGACCTAAAAAAGCTTGAAAACTTTAATATATCCTACAGAGTATGACTAACGAGCTGTGAAATTGGAATAACCTTACCTGAATAAACCACATCAGGTCATCTGTAGAGCTGTAGGAAAAATCTACATTTGATGGTCTATTCCAGCCTGCATCATGGTGCTGTTCCGCAGAATTTCCATGGATCGGATGCAAATGCACATCTGCTATTTCAGGACTAGTGTCTATCAGCGCAGCAATCTTGCCACAAAACAATGAAGCAAATATTCCACATGCCAGGATGAACATCATTATTGCAGGAGGAGACATTGTTTAACATCAGCATAAAATCCTCTGTATCGCCCCATATACAAATTAAATGAAAGGTGGGTGATTGGGGCACAATCTTGATATTCCCAATCTGAATCAAAGTGAACCAACCAACTTGCGATTGATTGAGATCGCAAAACTTGATGCAAAAAAAAACACCTATATAGGTATAGGCTTATTTTTCGCGCTTGCACAATTTCCTTTTTATAAGACTGCACTGTTTTTACTAGAAAAATGATGAAACAAAACACAAATTAAATGTTATGTGCCTAGGTTTATATAGCCTTGGTGCCTACCAAATATTCAACATAGGGCATTGTATTCAATTTGAGTTGAGAGTTGTCCCCTTTTATGCTAGAGCGTCGTTGATTGGTGACTTAACTGTCAATGACGTCATTTATATCTTGTGATGGCATAAAATACGATTTTTGATTGGTGCCAGGCTGTTGCTATGGAAATATCAGCGCCAGCTGCTTCAAGTAAAAACATAAAGCTATGTTTCTATTTCGTCATGAACGTCTACCAATTTTGATGCCATATCCAAAATTTTGCCTAATGCTAAATGTTTTTTTTTTTCCACTTCGACACGATTCCACACAGTCCACACGTGTTGTGAGAAGCGTTTTGTGATTTTTATGTAGCACATTCAGGATCTCCGGTATCTAAAATGAAGCCTTTAGTCCCATCAACATGCGAAACAAATTCAGTGGTTGATGCTGTTAGCAAGGGAACGGTAAGCTGATAGCGATTATGGATAATATTCGTCCAGACGGTTTTGTGTGGCAGTGTTTAGGCTGCGTAGCCCCTGATAGGTAAATGAAAAAATGAACATTTCACCAACTTGCACGTTATTACATGAGCTGAAGCTTTTGCTAATTCAGTCAATTTCCAAGGAGTTTGATTAACAAGACGTAAGCTTGCCAAGGCAAAGATTTGCCTGATTATGGGTAGGTATTTGATGCTTTTTTCAATTTATTTTTAATTTTTATTTAATATACTAATGGTTGTGAGAGAAATATAACCCCATTTACTTTATTAGCTCTTGCTAGGATATGACAGCAACATTTGGATGGTTGGTTTCAGGCTTTTGTATTCTCATTGATATACACACTCACATTTCATGCTTTTCTTGTTGAAACTTGAAGCTGTTTTACAGAGACTGGATGGAAGAGAGCTACTGGATCACAGAGAGGCAACAATCCAGTTTGGCAGAGAATATGGAACCTGCCAAATCAGGCTTGGCAACACCAGGTAGTTTTTCAGTTGACAAAATTGGATTAAATATGGTGAATGTTTCAATTCAATTTGGCTCATTTATTTCATTTCAGTTTGGTCACCATATTCAGTATTTTGCAAAAAATAATCCAGACTATACCTAATTTAAAACATTTCTGTCAAGCATTTCATAGTTACAGCTGTCTTTTGTTCTCACAATCCTACATAGTCTTTGTCATTGGGGTAACACAGTGCTAAAGGAGGCAACAGTGGTGCTTTTCACACCTCACCAGTTCGAATAACTCTGCTACTTGTGTACTGTGTTCAAGTTTGATCAACACACCTCTGCTCCTCTGTGACACCCATAACAATGTGTCCTCTCTTACCCCCTCCCCCTCAGAGCGTTGGCCACTGTGCGCGCCGAGCTGGGCACGCCGCGGCCGTCCCGGCCCAACGAGGGCACCCTGCAGGTGGCTGTGGATGTCACATCCACGGCGGCGCCCGGAGCAGACCGATCCAATGACCTGACCGTCGGCCTGGAACGGCTGCTCGAGCGGTGTCTGCGCGAGTCGCGCTGCGTCGACCAGGAGTCGCTCTGCGTCGTCGCCGACGAAAAGGTACGGATAGAACAGGGAGAAAAACATCGCGGAGATAAACGATGGATAAACGTCGGAGATCGCTGGACCGTAATTTGGACCGTGCTTAATAACTGAGGTCTACCTGTGCTGTGTGTCGAGTGTAAATAGCTAATGGATGGCAATCGAAGTCTTAGCTTTGAAGCTGCTGCGTTCAGCATTCACTTGTGTCCCACGCCCGTGATAACCTCCCGCCCCTCTCCCTGTCTCCAGGTGTGGCAGCTGCGTCTGCACGTGGAGCTGCTGGACCTGGGCGGTAACGCGTGCGACGCGGCGGCGCTGGCCGCGCTGGCGGCACTCTGTCACTTCCGTCGTCCGCACGTGTCGGTGACGGGCGGCGAGGTGCGCCTGTGTCCGGCCGACGAGGCCGAGCCCGTGCCGCTCGCCGTGCTCCACAAGCCGGTGCTGGTCACATTCGCCTTCTTCGGAGACGGGTGAGAAGGCGGAGCGTGGATAGGAATAGGAAGGAAAATATGGAGGGAAAGGAAGATGGTTGGTAAAAGTGGAATGTGTTTTAGACAGGACTTTCAGAAAATTTCCCGTTAGATAGACCAAAGTAATATTGGATAGACCAGCATTTAGAGAAGTTGCTGATGTAACAGAGATGATCGAATTGTACGACTTTGTCGTGCAATTCGAGTCAGTGTCAGGTTAGGAAGTTCCGCAGCTTTCTCCGGAAGAACAATGAGGCCCCGTTCACCGTAAAGAAGGCCGTGTGGGACAGCGCTCTTAACGCCAGCATTCTGTACAGCTGCGAGACGTGGATGACAGGCTCCCTTAAGCCGGTGGATCAGATGTACCAGCACACGCTGAAGGATCTGGTCGGGGTACGGTATCAGACCCCGTCTGATCTGATTTATGTCGAGACCGGCATCCCACCTCTCTCTGCTAGGGTAGGCCAGATGCAGCGAAACTTTCTGATGAAGCTCCAAGCCAGCACACACTTTGAGGGTAGCCCTGTGCAGAAGGCCATCGAGCTCGCGCGCGTGCATGCCTGCCCCATGGGCCAGTATATTGAGAAGCTTCAGGGCTCCCCGCACCTGAGCTCACCCGTGGCCGCTCTATCCGAGGTGAAGGCGCGTATCAGGGGTGCGACAAACTCCAGAGCAGTCGCGTACAAATCGATAAATCCCTCACTAGATGCGCAAATTATCTACCAAACAAAAACGTCTTCACACTCGCACACATTCGAACCACACCAGCTAGCGTTCTCTCGCCTCAGGCTGGGCTCTCACCGCCTCCGGGTCGAGACGGGGAGATGGTTTCACACGCCGAGAGACCTACGCCTATGTTCGTGTGGTCCGTTCGTACAGGATGAGGATCATGTCATACGACAATGTAGGCTGACACGCAACGTCTCAAGCTTTAAAGGGACCCTCCCACCTTAACATTAGATTTGAGTTGAGATAGCCAAAATGGGGTCCCTGGCTCACAATTACCGGTTTCGGCATTCACAACATCGAGAAATGCCTTAAATCGGAAATATTGAATTTCAAAATTGCAGCATTTTGATTCAGAGGGGCTAATGCTTAGGAATACCCCTCTGAATGTGTGACGTCAGCGCAAATATCTAACGATTTTTAAATGTTTGACTAAAACGTTTTGTAGCACGCGGTGGTATATGCTATTTGCGCGCAACATCTGCCGCAAACGCCGCTTTTCTAAAATAAAGTCGCTAGAAACAGCGGAGATCCCAAAAAAAGTAAACAAAAGTAAAAGGCTAATATCTTGAAAACCGGTAAATATTTTTCGTTGAAATTTGGTAGATATTCGTTTTCGCTCTTTCTGAACCGAGCAACATCACTTTCATGCCAATTCATAAACTTTTTTGAAGGTGGGAGGGTCCCTTTAACGAGGCCGATTCCCTCCCCGACGTTCTATCAGTGTACACGAATGTTAATGCCCCGAAACTCTGTTACGACGTCCTTAGAGCCTTCATGTAGTGTCCGCCGTTTGCCGAACGTTTCGTCTGTACTCATCGATTGCCGATTGCGCGTTATATGTTGCTTACAAATATCTAGGCCCGGAGTCGAGATGGTTCCGACTTCCGAGGTCCCACGGGCGGTTAGCCTGCGCCGCGCCGAATCGCTAGAGATCATAGATGGACTGAGGGTTGTTTTTAATGTATTTTATCCTGTATTGCTTGCATCGTTTTAATGTGCCATGTTTGCGTTTGTGTCTCTCCCCCCCCCCCCGATACCCAAGGTCAATAAACGAATGAATGAATGAAATGTCTCAGTTTCTCTCGGCGCTTTCAGTCAGCATTTCGTGGCGGACCCGACGGAGATCGAGGAGCGGGCCTCCGAGGGTCTTCTGACGGTCGGCATGAACTCGTACCGGGAGATCTGTACGCTGCACCTCACCGGCAAACTGCTGCTCAACAAACAGCAGGTGAGGACACAGGCATAGCAGGCTAGACTGGTGCTCAGCGAAGAACAGGTGATAAATCAGACTTCAGAGGCTCCCTCTGCCCGAGAAACAATGCGTGCTCCTCACTGTTGACTCGCCTTGCTCCCGAGAGGTGAGGCAACCCAGTTTACTACGCACTGTTCGGGAGTGTGAACTCGTGGCCTCAGCAGTTATAGAGGAGCGTGACTCCAAGACGGCCTTTTCACCGTGCAAATGAATTCTCGTCTGGGCTCTGTACGCTGCACCCCTCAGAATATCCCGTCTCCCCGCAGGTGCTGGAGTGCACCGAGCTGGCGGCGGCGCGCGCCCGCTCACTGACCTCCCAGCTGCGGCGCGCGCTGACCGCTGACGAGGCGGAACGGACCGCGATACACCCGTTCCCGGGTCTGGCCCGGGTGGAGCTCGAGCGGATGGCCACGGCGGCGGCCAGCGTGCGGCTGAGCGGCGCCGTGCGCGGCCCGGCGCTCACCGCCGAACAGATCTCAGAGATGGAGAAGGAGGTGAGTGGAAGGAGCCGTGGACAGGGTATAGGACGGTAATCTGGAGACATGACGGTGGGGTGGAGACACTGGTGTGGTAATGATTGGGTTTGGGATGTAACTGACTGGGATTGAATGGAAGGGGCCAGGCTGAGTTGGACTTAGAGTGTTGGGCTGGTGGTGAGAGACGAGGACGGGGCGGAACAGGCTGTAGAGAAGGACTGAGGAGCAGGGTTGTATACGACTCAATCAATAGCAATCAATTCAATCACGACAAATTTGGGAAACCAATCAAATCAATCAAGTCAGAGCAGTTTTCGGGAATTGATTCAATCGACTCAAACGCGACAATGAAAGGAATCAATCAACTCAATCAAACGACTCAAACCAAGACATACATTAGGTTTTTTTGCCCCACCAACTTGGAAAAGTGTCCATAGCAGTCTGGTGTACCTACCTACCTACCTACCTACCTACAGAAGAAACATAAAAATATTGTCATTTAAAATGATAAATTGCCATGCCAATTGCCATTCAAAGTTTCTATGTAATAAGGAAGGATACCTAGTGATGGACAGGTGGATCATGATATTGAGGTTCAATGGGTAGAATTGGAGCAGAAGTTTCATTTAATGGGTGCAAAATAACCCAGTAGTTGACTTCAACAAACGCCCCTTAACCCAAATCACCACCTTTCACCTAAAAGTTGTCAATTTAATTTTGGCCATATTCCAGCTAAGTCATCAGGCCATCTACCCCATGTAAAGCCCCTGTCTGTCTTTTATGTGAGTTATGCGGAGCTCTTCTGAATTGAACCCTGAACATAATGAACCTAGCTAGGTTTCATGTCACACTGACACCATATGAAAGTGTTGAAAATGTGCTACAAATTTGACAACTTCATTAGGTATGCTTTATGAAGACAGCAGGAAAGCAGGTAGGTCAGTCGGTGACACTCCAGGGAAATAAGCTAAAATTAAAGCGCTCTATTTATTGCTCCCGCTACTTCACCGTCTCCCATAGGGTCCTGTGTTGAGCTGGTGTCGAGGCTCTAAAAATGACGCCGATTTTTGCACCCTTCTCACAAAAACCGCTCGGACCGCCTGGAAACTAATTGTTCCGCTCTAAAAATTTTATGATCGACGGAAAAATGAATGAGGAAAAGATTGGTCCTGAAATAATTCTGAACTCCCTGTAGAACATATCGAAATATGGCTGCAAACTAGGAGCATGTCAAAATCGACAAAACAATACAAATAAACTTACCAGGATTTTTTTATTTTCCATGCATCTGTGTATGAAATCAGTCGGTTTTTCGGAAAGATCATCTTCTGTTTAATAAATAATTCCACAATTGCAATCGAGAAAAAAAAACATTTCCGCTGTGACAGCAGTTTTGGCATTGTGCCAGTAGTGTGGCGTGCGCGGTGCTGCGTGGTCGTCGGGACGGAGTTGTGAGTATTTTCGGTGTTTTAAATGGTTGATGGCCATTTGAACCAGCTTTATATTATTTCCTACAAATTTTTGCATCAAATTATTGCTTTGAAAGACCATTGAAACCCCTTATCTCTTCATGAAACACGATCATATTCATCGTCGACGAAAATGGCGCGGGACTCCATGTGCATTCCGATCGAAATAAATCGTAAATTAAATAATATTCGATGATAAGTATCATATTCTAGTGACACATTTTCATAAAATAAGGCATAAACTTTGCAAGGAAGTCAACATTGGATAATTGGATTCTTATTTAGCTCACATATCCTTGTAGTAGTCAAATGGCTCAATTGATAGATTAATGTAAGTATATGTTTTGGCTTGATGTTTGCTGTGAAACCACCCAGCCACTTGCTGGTTGAATGGTTTTCTGATAATTACCTGATAATCATTTCTCCTTTTCCTTAAAAGAAACTGAAATTCCTTTCAAAGTAATCCATTTTTAGGAAAGGCGGCTTGCTCATTGACATTTCATGTTCTTGTTTTGTTATTGCTGGCAGTATTTTGATACAATAATGCAATATGAATTTCTTGCAATAATAAAACCTAAGACAAACTTAGTTAATGCGTCAATCAAACACCCAACAGAAAGATTGTGAGTCCTTGCGACGTGAAGTAGAATATTCTATGAATGTGCTATATAGAATATGCCAAATATTAAATTAATATTATTTGATACTGATAGCTGAGCATGTGAATTATGCCACAATATAATTTCATTTTCTGGTTTTGAAATAGCCGGCAGTATTTTACTTCAACAAATGTAATATACATGGAATACATGTTGTTATGTTATGTTAAAAGTTTAACAACAGCCAACAGAAGGGCTGTTTCAGCAGTTAATGTTTGTACCTTATGCATTACCTTTCTTTTCTGCAGGACCATGCTTCCGCTGGGTGGTCGACATTTGCCTCCTGAAGAAGTTGAGCAACATGAAGACCACCAGATGAGGTGTCTGCAGTTCATGTGGAACTCTGCAGACTACAAGTGTTATGCCAACCACAACCAAAGTGCTGTGATCATGGAGGCATGAACCTCATGACAACACTTCAGATTTGCAGTTGAACCAAAGTGTGATTCAAACCACCTGTGGCATCTCACTCAATGTGTGAACAGTGTGATTATTGTGCAGTGTTCAGCTGCAACTAAGACATTTATTAGTGACTTGTTTTGCAATTAGCCACCAAAAGCATTTTTTGGGCTGACTGCTGTAATTTGTTGTGCACTGCGCAATAGTGGTAGTGTTTTGTCACTTGTCGAGTTGTCAGTTGTGCATGTTGCATGTTTCTCTTCCCTCGGCCCTCATTATCAGTTAAGTGGTGAATTGGCATCACTCAGTCTCCCCAGATCTCCATTGACTGTCTGTCAACCACCTAACTTGAGATGGTATTTGCTAATAGTGTCAGAAAAGAAGTGATTGTAGACATTTTTAGGAATATGAGCTCCGTTTCATGCGTGTTCCAGTGGTCATTTTGTCTCATGTCCCATAGTGTAATAAATGGAAACTGTTGTTCCCTTTTGAAGGTACTCGCGGATGCAGAAAGCGTTGGGCCTAATTATTAAACGCACCCTCCTATCAGCGACGCACGAAATCGACAAATATCCTTTTTAGAACAGGAGGAAACGAAAACTTGTGAACATAGCTGTACCTACAACAGTGCATAAGGAATTGAAATTCTGGGAGTTTTTGAAATTCGGAGAAACTCAAGTTGTCGACAGGTATGCCCCCTTGCACGTCAAAGACCGCCTAAAAAACAAACGTCTACAAATGAAGGCAGTATTCGTATGTTCGTTGTAATTGCAGCAGCCTAGCAACATGCATTGCGGTCCGATGGCGAATTACACTCGTGCTCAAAAACTATGCCGGTAACTGCCAATGCACTTGGGTCATAGGTGAGGAGAGGAAGGGTTATGTCATATGTCAACATCATAGAAATGGCTTCATCTGAGCTGTGCCTATTGTACATAATTCAACCAATCTATGCATTTCGTTTCTTGCAATCTACTCATGCTTTCACTCCAGCTTCAGAGTAATCATCCCATATTGTACGTCTTAAGATATTGATTTCTATGGCGGTTTGCAATTGCTAGCCACGTCTCACCTCAGTTTGGTGGCCCCGCATCGGCCCACTCGGCCGCTCTAAAATTGACTTACGGAGGAGGATCGTGGCTTTTATTTTAGCTTCTCCGCTGACTGCGGGGAGCGCCGTCGCCGAGGTAGGAGCAATTATTAGCTTATGTTTGGGACTAATTTCCACGCTTAATTAACATTTTAATGTTATTTTAATTTATTCATGTTAATCTTTGACGCATTCTCTTTCTATTGATACCATCCACCGGTCTGAGAATTACTGCCTTGCTGCGTAAGGGCCGATAAAAGATCACGCTTTTAGGGGTATCTCTTCAACATGGGGCAGGAGCAATAAATAGAGCGCTCTAATTTTAGCTTATTTCCCTGGAATGTCACCAACTGAGGTACCTACTTACCTGCCTGGATGTGTCACTGGCTACCAACAGTACCAACGAAGGTAGATATGTAGGTTATATATGAAGAATTCAAAACATATTATTGCAATACAATTTGAAACTGTTAGGATGGGGGATAGGGATGAGCATTAAAAATATATTTAAAAGGAAATGGAGAGGACAGGGACTCTGGAACCACAGGAAAAGTTAAGGACAAAGGAAGTAGGAACAAAAGAATTAAAACGCGAAAACGGCTCGGTGCGAACTACGAAAAAAAACAAAGAAAACGTTTTGCCAATAAGTATGCTAAGCTTTTATAAATCCTTATTCCGTGCCTTATTCTACGTCTTTTGATTTTTTGGTAAGATGACGTCATTGATTATCATGTAGTATGGTAGATCATAAAATAAATCGGTTGTACAACACCAATTTCGTTTTAATTACTATTTCATTTGAAATAAAACCACTTAACAATATTCGGTAAAATGTTTTAAGGAAAATGAAATATATAAAATATGTTATGCTTAGGCTCTCAGGAGAAAAGGATCAACAAACGTTCTGCTGCAAATTAAACAATGCAGCAAATTAGCACGGAAACGTAATAAGCGAGACGAAAACGGCGCTTTTGTTCCAGTTATTTTTGTAGGGGTTTCAGATATTTATAGAGTTCAGTGGGTTGTTTCTGAGGAGATGTGGAGATGTGAATTATTAATCAATCACACTTAATTAGTATATAGGGCCTTGCACTTTATCATCTGGATTTAAAAAAAAACGTTTCCTGCTGAGTGCAGAAAGGTAGGTAGGTGCATCGCCAGGTTCTATCACCAGGATTGGAGCAGTTATTGCAGTTGAAAGTCAAAGTTGGCTGTTCATGTTTAGGCCCTGTTCTTTATTTGGCCATCTACTCCATATTGCAGTTGTGGTGACATCCAGTTTTCAGTGTAGTTTTGTGATCTTTGATGTCATCAATTGGTGTCATTATTTTTCGTCTACTAAAACTTATTTGAACTTTCCATTCAATCGACTCAATCATACGAGTCACTCTAATTTTCGGGAATCAAATCAGTCAACCAGTCGCTAAAGTCAAACGAGTCAGTCAACCAGTCATCTCGAAAAGTCAATCGACTCAATCCAATCAACTCAAAATACGCGTTGAATCAAATCAATCAATTCAATCGACTTGATTGGTATACAACCCTGCTGAGGAGATCAAAAGGACTTCGGACGGACGACTACTCACACAGTTATTGACGAACACTTCCCTACATCCGTCACCCCCCCCCCCCCCCGCCGTCTATACCCTTCTGTCTTCTGACCCTTCTCTGCTGTCTGCTCAGGTGGACGAGAAGTTATCTGTGTTCCGGCACAAGGACATGGCCGCGGCAGCGGAGATCGGACAGGGAGGTGCCAGCCAGTGGGGACCGCCGTCAGATGACGAGGAGGGAGATCAGGACGAGATGTGGCCGCGGACGGCAGAGACACCGGCCAAGACCGCGCCGGCAGGTCAGTGGGGGACGATGTGAGGGTCGGGTCATCATGAGAGGTCAGTGGAGACAGGGCGGGGTAGGTGGACTGAGGAGGGGGTGGTTGGTAACAGGTCAGGGGGACGGGCAGGGGTAGGTGGCGGGTTGGGAGAGGCGACGTGACAAGTCCGTGGGGCGGGCAGGGTAGGTAGTGAGGTGGTAGACAACGTTACGTGGCATATGGGGCAGTTGAGGGTAAGACTTGCAAGAGCAGGCTGGTTCGGACACAATCGGGAGATATGTACCAGTATAACGCCTTTTGGGGCGACTAACGGAGCGAGCGAGAGGGTGGGCCTTGCACGTGCGAACTTGCGAGGGGGTACCTCCAACTGACTTGTGCACGGCACCCTACTAACCGGTCTCTAGCGATGTGCCAAATTTGAGCACAATCGGCCCAGCCGTTCTCGAGATCTGGAAGCGGCACCCTGCACGTGCGCACGTGCAAAATGGGTCCCGACTGACTTTTGCACGGCACCCTACTAACCGGTCCCTAACTGTGTACCAAATTTGAGCGCCATCGGTCCAGCCGTTCTCGAGATCTGGAAACGACCCCTGCACGTGCGCACGTGCAGCAGCACCCCAACTCTGGCACATGGATACGCATTGCCTAGTGGGTGCCTACCTAAATGCCAACTTTCAGCGCAATCGGCCAAGTAGTTACCGAGATATTGCAACAATTACAAAAGTGACACCTCTTCGTTTTGCACGTGGCACGTGCATAAGGGGTCACCCACATGCATCGGGAATAGTCCAATACTTGGTAGAAGGAATGAAGCTACCCTACAAAAATTACCGCGTGTAAATCGGTCAAGTGGTTGCTGAGATATAAGCCTCGCAAAAGCGTCCGCACGGCCGGCCGGCCGGCCGGCCGGCCGCTCATACTCAGAAATTTCCGTTAATCTAAGGAAAGACTACGCTCGCTTCGCTCGCTCCGTAATAATGTAAGTCACCGACATTGCCGCTGGCTACTCGGCCACATAGTCACATTGATATAAGCTGATAGTTCACAGCATTAGCTAAAAGCTGACCGAGCTGTGCGATTTCGCATAACGATATTATTCTTAAAAAACTGGTAAAATAAAAATTTACGGTGTTGCAAATTTGCGGACCGAATTCGCCGAGTCACTCCGACGATTTTACCGCCTGTGTGGGCACGGTTGGTGCCTATGCCTGCTCATTGTTCAGTCCTATGCATCGTAAGTACTCCTATAATATTCAATAGGCCTTACGCATCGACCAATATGCAAATGTTTTAAACCTCATTTCGCCTACATTCAGACTTGGTAAGTCCCGTGAGCCCAGTTGAGCCGTCTATCCCTTCCAATAAGGCGGCTGCCGGAAAGATCAAGGCGAAAGATCCATCAGAGTCCCGTAGTGGGTTTTCAGTCGCTGGCCGCATTAGGTTGATAATTCGTGGCACGTATCGGCTCTCAGATGTGAAGAGGTGATTTCAATCGAACTTAGCTTGCCGGAACTCTAAGGAGCCATAATGGGCATCGGACATCCGCTAATTCCGATGGAAGTGAGACCGCCATGGCGGATAGATCCAGCTACTAAATTCCATGAGATCAAGGTGAATGAGACGTCATGACGTCAGCTAATAGTGGGATTTGTTCAGTACTTATTCTTGTTCGGTCGGCAACATAGGATGTCAGACAGGTTAGTTGTATCCGGCTTTATTCACACCTGTGGTACGCCGAGTAAATGAACATCTGACGTTTCCCCAATAAGCTATTAGAATTGACGCATCATCAGACCAACAATGTTACGGCTTTGCTTTGATTTACGTCAAGCCCACGGAGCGCATGTGCAAATATTTCATTATTTCTCTACCTTCGTATACCATAAACTCGTCGCTGTTACCCTTATTTTGATAATTGATTTACTGACCTCTCACCCGTGACCTCTCACACCTCACATTGACCTCTGACCCGTGACCTGTGTGCCGGCAGCCTCGGACTCAGACAGCGAGGGTGAGCAGACCGTGCTGCACCCAGAGGACCTGGAGCCGCACGCCGAGCCCGGCACCGGTAAAGGTCTCCGGTGTCCCATGCCGGTCCGGTAGTGGGGTGGGGCGAGGGGCCAGGGTTCGGGTGGGGGGTCACTGGGACAGGAAGCGGTGTACTCAGCTGATGGTGTGTGTGGTGTAAAGGCCGTCAGCTGGTTGAATATGGATGTTCCAGTCGCACTTCCTAACACCTCTAAACTCCTCCAAGATTGCTTCCCTGTTCCAGTGGCAGCTTTCGCCCCTACAAAGCCAAGAAGGGCCCTGCTCCAACGTCCTCCTCTATCTTGCTCTTGGAGGAGTTTAGAAGCGTTAGGAAGTGCGACTGGAACAGACCCTATGACGGCCAACAGTGTTTGAGCGTTGAGCGGCAAGGTAACCGCGCCGCAGCGTCATATCGAACTAATGCGAGGCTGGCTGACAACTCTCATGTGTGCGGGTACGTAATTGTTGGCCTTTTTAAAATTGAGAACGTCTTTTGCGGTGATGGTTTCGTGAGGATGGCAGGAGCGGGCGGCGAATTACGAAGCGAGTGAAAAGCCGGTAGGTCATATCTTGAAAAGCCGGTAGGTGTCGCCGAGTCGCTTGTGGCCCGTCGTTCATATGTGCCCTTTGTTCGCGAGGAACCGGCCTGTACAATGCATATTTGTGTTCGCAAATACACCGTTTCATCTAGACAGAGCTTACGGCCTACGGTATGTTCTGTCTAACGAAGTCTGTTATATAACCTAGTCGTATCCGATATTTCATCATAAAGCTTTTATGTTCACCAATTAGGAAATTCAACGAGCAATGCTGCTATTTCCCTGGGTTTTATGTTAATGGATGCGTTTGGTTTCTCAAGCACGTCAATATGTGATCGTCTGATGTCACGGTATCGACACGATTACTGAACTGATAGCGAGCCAGAGCACAGCGAGCGATTCCGCTGCCAACAAAAACACCGGCTCCCTCCCTCTCTCTCTCCCTCTCCACCCCTCTGCCTCTGCACTCGTCCCCGCGCCTCCCTCTGCCCACGGCCCCCGGCTCCCAGCGGCGGCGCCCCGCCCCCTCTGCCGACCGTGACCCCACCGCGATCCGCCGCGCCGTGTGCAGTCGGAATCACCGCGCCGCGCCGCCGCCGGCGGAGGAAGACTCCGGCCCGCCGACGAGCTGCCAAGGCCGCGGCGGCCGCGTGGCGGGAGGTGTGCCGCGCGCCGGCCAGCAGCGAGCTCCGTCTAACGGTGCCGCGGCTCGGCTCAGGCATGGTCGGACGGTCACCGCCAGCCCGGCCGGGAACGGACCGCGGCCGTAGTGAGTCCGGCTGGCAATGGTTCGGTAGATGGACCGCTGTAGGTCCGAGTGAGCCCTACTGGGCGGTGTGGGGTGTGACTGCGTTTGTTGTTGGCCCAGCGCCAACGGAAGACCTTAGCCACTTTAGGAGGAAATGAAACCCGAAGAAAGGCAGTATGCTAGCGCGTTATTGACAGTGAGGTTACTTTAAAACCTTTACAGTGTGGTCGTATTTAACTTTTAAAGAGTGAAATATATCAGCAACTACAACCAAGTCAGCGTCCGTGCTCGCAATTTCAGAATCTCTCTACCGCGCCGGCACCATTCCTGCATTCTATCGCGCCCTTCAAACGCAGCTCGATATTCACGTCTCTGTATTGCTGCTGCCGCGCGCGGCGGCGTAATGCGGCGAGTTGGCACAACTGCGGTACAAGATCTGCGCTAGGACGGGCCCATAGAGAACCCGGGGACAGGCCGGACACTGCTGTGGCAGGCCAGAGTCCGGCCGGCATCACGCCCATGGCCGTCCGTTCATAGGACTAAATGGCGTAAAACACAAATATACAATATACACCGGCATCACAATGAGTAGGGTGGTTACAGCTCCGCTCATCGAACAGCGAGTAGAGAGCGGTGGGACCGCGCGGCCCCGTACGGGACGCACGGCTCGTATACACGCAAACGGCTCACCGGATAAAGTCCAACAATCGGCCCATTAAAGCACTGTTGATACCGGCCGTGAGAGGCGAGTCGGTAGCTTGATAACGGGGGGGGGGGGGGGGGGGCGCACCCACAGACCAAATCGGGGTCGACACCGCGCCAGGCCAGTTGGGAGAGGAACAATACACCATTAAATGATATAATACTCGCTTCTGAATTCGGGATAAACACATCACATCGCAGTCAACTTCGAACGCGGGCCGTCAGAATCTCACCGTCCGCAGATCCTGTGTGACGTCACATAATATCACGTGCCGCGCGCCACGTGTTTCTCACCAGGTCATGTGTCATCCTCCCGCAGCATCCTCGCGCCGCGCAGTAGAGAGCGCAGTCATGGCACGCCGACCGACCTGGGCCGGCTCCCCGACATCCCGTGCCCACGTCATGATCCACATCACCGTCCAATATCACCGCACGTCAGTCGCGTCACCGACCGGGGCCGTCAGTGACGGTCCGCGGCCGGTCGGCCGGTCAGCAGAGCTCCACAAAGGTGGCCGGGAACAGGCCCGTCTTGCCCGTCTTCTCGTGAGTGCCCTTCATCCAGCCGTCGCTGCGCTTTTTGTGCACGAACACTATGTCGTTGGCACGGAGTTCCAGCTCCACGTCCGAGCTCGGGGGGTAGTCCATCGTACACCGGTACCTGGGGCAGGTCAGGTCGGGTCAGTTAGTGTGGAACCTGACCTCGATATTTGTCCGAGCACGGCTCGTAACTTTCACCGGCTCTTGGGTACCTAGTCAGGTCAAAACATCCCACATGGTGAGCGGTAAGTCGCACCAGACACAATACCAATACAATATAACACAATATGTACACAATATGTAGAGGCGTTCCACAGAACCCCCGACCCGCCATCGCTGCCAATCTACACATCCTGCCGTTCCTCCCAGCAGCGATAAAAATGGCCACCACTACAGCGTGGCTGATCTGAGCGCAAACGGTATTCACTCATGAAATGGCATGAAAATCACGTCACAACATTATGACGATAAGTAAGTAATACGCCGACACCAGTCAAAGAAGATCCGCATTGACGGCTGCAGGACGGCACAATATCCTGTTCCGGTTCGTGTCCGGTAACGCCAGTCTAACTGTGTAAGGACGCCAATATTTCCAATAACTCACCGTTGGCAATACGGGTGGTTTCGTGGATCGTATCATTGGAACATTTATAGTTCGTCCAGGATGACATGTAACACATACGCTAGGATCCTCAATCCTCATTGAAACACAAAGGTATCAATATCCACCAGGGATTCCTGGAATAACACGCCTCGTATAAGGAAAGGAGAGGAAATATTGTCTTCTGACTGGGTTAAATGCAGAGGGTAAACAGGTGAGAAAGAACGCACCCCATGGTAACGCAGGCGTCCTTTAGTGACCGGGTAATGGGTATCCAGAGCGGTGAATGACGCTTTGGACGCTCACCTTTGAATGACGAGCGGTGTGGGTGCCCGCGAGTGCTTCTTGGCGTCTGAATGTGCCCGCTCCGGTCTGAGGGCACACAGAGGTCACAGGTTAGTGCGGGTCAGAGCAGGTCAGACGTAAGACCAGGTCACAGGTCAGGTCACAGGCCAGGTCACCGGTACCGTAAAACACCCGGCACAGGCTACAAGTCATCAACAACACGGGAACAGGTTGTTATAGGCTTAAAACGGTACCGTCCTGCCACTGCTAGTCAGGGGTCACCATCCTCGCAGGTCAGCACAAAGGTCACGCCAGGTCAAACGCAGGGTCAGGACTGACCAGAGGTGGGGGTCATTGGCCACTAACGGGTGATTGGCAACGGGTGATCGGGTTACACCTCGACACAAGGCAATGAACTCCAAAACACCCTAGCTGTTCAGGCATTTGCCACGCTTGCATCATCTACGTTTGCGCGTCGCTATTCTCTAGCTAGATGATGCAATGTCTACGGCCGGGCCCTCTGGTCTCGACAAGAGCAGAACGTCTCTACTGTCCTTGGGGTCGGGCACGACGGTCCCATTTGCATTGGCTTAAATGCAAATACCGTGGGGTTTATAGGAGTTGTGTCCAGCCATGGGTGACTTAGACCTGACTGGAGTTGAGCGAGCGAATCGAAGGAACGAATGGTAATACCTACCTCGCACACCTGCGTCTTTAATGCTGATACGATTAATACGGCATCTTAAATACATGACGAAAAAACAGAGACAGCTATAAAATAGATTTTATAGCATTACCACTTACCAGCTGGTAATGCTCGCATTGAATAGTTATAATGGTTATAGTGGTTAGGTTGGCCCAGCCGGCATGCTTGCGAACGATTAACAACGAAATTAAGACTTTATTACGCCCTGATCACCCATCCGCAATGGCTCATTCGTGGTTAGAGAGAAAGATCAGCCAAATATACGCAGCTTGGTATTTTGACTATAACTGGCTGAACGGCCAGAAATAGCATTTGGAAAATATGAAAACAGTTGCCCAACCACGGAAACGGCTTGGTCGTTTTCGAGCCACTCCACAGGGTTACATATCTGCCAATGACCCTAGGATCTATGTAATAAAAGATATATCATAAAGATATGAAAGCACGTCGAACACAGCGGGGCATCGAGTCGTTGCCGTGTCAAGCGATAACGGTTTCGGCGGTAGCAGCCGACGCGGGCGGAAAACGTTCGACAAGGATGAGATTCGAACTCACGCGGGGAGACCCCATTGGATTAGCAGTCCAACGCCTTAACCACTCGGCCACCTTGTCCTGAGAGCACAAAGCGTCGCATTATGGTATAGTTTGGTGTTCGTGTTCCGGACTACCCTGACACGGTGGTATCAGCATCACGGTGTTACCTGGTGTTCCGGTTGGCGATGATGGTATTGCCGCCGCCGGCCGGTGAGCCGGAGCCCCACGATCGGACCCGCTGCAGCGGCCGGTGGGAGTTGGCGGACCGGCCGAGCGACGGACCCGACGGACTGCCAACAAATAACGGCAGGTCAGATGGTAACAGGGTAACGAAAGGTCAGACGGTAAGGGGTAACGGACAACGATGAAGTCACACGGTAACTGGTAATGGGTAACGGCGGGTCAGATGGTAACGGGTAATAAGTCAGACATTGACGGGTAACGGGTCACAGGTAACGGCAAGTCAGACGGACTGGTAACGGTTAACACCGGGTCAGACGGGAACGGGTAGCCGATAAGCCAGACGGACTGGTAACGGCAAGTCAGACGGACGGACACATCGCCATACACGGTGGAGAATCCACACGTCCAGCGGACCGTGGGTTGGCCTCAGTACGGCACCGAATACGGCCTGTCACCGTCACAATCCGTACCAAACGTTTGTTTGCAAACACTTAAACGGGCCGGTTACAAACGACTTCGACTCGGCATAACCGACACTAAGCAGTAACCAGCCACCTTTTAGCTCCAGTGTCGGCGTGGCGTTCAAACGCCTGAAACTGATACCCATTAGTTTTAGGAGACCTACTGGAGACCTATAAGGAGAAGTTTAATGAGATCTACGGTAGGCTGGCTGCCAATTCACGGAACAAACTGCTTTGGTAATTGATATCCTCACTTCTCATACAGCGACGTTCTTAAATCACTGCTCCCTCGTCTGATTGTTTCCCCAGTTGACGAGCTCTCCGTCGCTCACTAAGGAGACAAGTCCTCGCCAGGCCCAGGTAAGGCCAGCCAGATCAGAAGAGTACGTCAGGTCAGTCC